GGCCAGTCCGTCTCTTCTGTCCCGTCCGCAGCCATCCTTGTGGGGCTGTCTCTTCCCCTCCGGCGTCCTCCCCAAACGGAGTTGTTCCTCCCTGCTCTGGAAGCTGCTCCTCCCTGCCCTCGGTGGCGGCCTCCAGCCAGCCTTTGGTCCGCCCTCGGGGCAACGGACCCAGGCAGAGTTTCCTGAGTCGCTCCCTTCACACCCTGCAGGGTGGATCTTCTCAGAAGGGGCTCGCATCTGAGGCTGAAAAGGCTTCAAATCCTTCCAAGCAGGGAAACGACATTTTGCAACAGGAAGAAAGAGAACTTGGCACTAGCAGCGTGCAGGTGAGAAAGAGGCAGCCTCACGCTGGTCTTCGGTGTGTGCAAAGCACAACTACCTTTTCAATCCTATCTGTGTAATCCTGCAAGCGCTTCTTCCCAACTCTCTCCAGCTCACGGAAAAGGCAGCTCTGCCTCAGCTCTTCCTCGCCCCAAAGCCGCTTGGTTAGCAGGACGGGACGGTCTCGTTCCACGGCCCCTCAGACTGAGCCAGGCTTGAAGCAGGTCTCTGAAATGGGCCCCTCGTCCACCTCCTTTCCTCCCTGGCCCCACAGCAAGCCGGGGGTCTCCAACTGAGAGTAGGCCACCCCAAAATGTTTCCTGCCAGAGAGGAGGACTAAGTGCTGGGAGGGAAACCAAGAACTCTGTCTGGTGAAGCGTCTCAATGGGGCCCTGAGGATCATTCAGGAGCCCAGGGCCGCTGCAACCTCCAGGCCATGCTGCTGCTCTGGCTGCCCCCCTGCATGAGGGAGGGGCCAGCCCGGTACAGAGGACACACACCACGACCTCTCAAACCCCTCCGTGACATGCAGCCACCGCATTTACACATGCCCGCTTTGACGTCTGTCCCAGGAATGCCATGAGAAGCTGCCAGAGAGCCAGATCTCCCCCGGGCAGCTGAGCCCCATCTTCTTCCCACTGGCAGCGAGGAGGGGGCCCAGTCCCTCTGCTCGGGCTGCTCCTCATCAAGGCCAGAGGTAGTTTGCTGGTCTCGCCAGGCCAGCCCCACATTCCTGGCGCGGCGGGGAACCATTTCCTTGCTACCAGCTCCGTCCAGCTTCATTTCTGCCGGGACCCCAGCCGCGCCGAGCATCCCGTCCCGTCCCGTCCGTGGGGAAGGAGGCCTCACCGGGGGCCTCTCTGCGGCTCCTCTCTCTTCCCGCTCCGAATTCCCACCCCTTTCGCTGTTCCCGGCAGGCTGAACTGGGGCATCACGAGGCTTCCCGCGTCACACCAAGGGGCCATTCAGGCCCTCCGAGAAGCCAGGCAAGAAAAGCCTCGCCAAGGCCAAAGCACGAAGCGAACCGGCCCCCAGCGCGCCGCTCTCCCCGCTTCCGAAGGGCAGACTGCTCTGGCCAGCCGCTGCCTCCCTGCCGAGAGCTTCTGCCGATCCCTCCTCTTGAGGGCCGCCCTGCTCTCCAGACAGCAGGCCGGCAGGACGCGAGCAGCCCCCGGAG